TGCGGCACCATTCCCATCACCGCTCGCGTGGCTCTCAGTGCGCGCGCATTCCCAAAATTGGCAGCGTGATCGGCGCTAAACGAACCATATCCTGCTCCTGCTCCACCACAGGATACGTTCTACATGCGTTCCTGGCTATTCGAACACGCTCACTTGGAACGGTACACAGGAAACGGGTTTTTCGCGCAGCTGGGAGTGTTCCTCAAGAAATCGCCACATGCGAGATCTCAATTGAATCCCGAGAGCTTCAGAAACAGTTCAAGAGGTTTTTAGAAAGAGAAAATCTTTAAACACTCGGATCCGTTCTCAGATTTGTGAAATGTTGAGTTACAAAAAAATATATTGGTTCAAACCTGTTCAACTTAAACTTCAACCCTTCACTCCCCATGGAATCCCTATGGGCAGATTTCTCTGTGATTTTTGCGACCTTCATAAACGTTTCAGCACATTAGGACGTTGCCAATCAGCTTCCTCTACACGTAATACGGTCTCCTCTTCCCCACAGGTCCGCTTTTGAGGAAGTTATGGTCCTTCAAAGACACCCTACTTTGCTGAAAATTCTCGCTCCATGGCTAAAATTGCCGAACGATCTGCGGTCACATCTGCAATTACATGCGCTTCTGCTACCGTACTCCATATATCGGGGTAATGCATTTTTACGGCGGTTTGTATAACTGTTACGTAGTGAGACAAGCCTAACTTTCTCTTTTCCTCGTCCTCAATCTTGGGAATAGACGTTGTTAACACTGTGGTCGCTGATGGCCGCTCCCAGAGAGGGAGTCCACCTCAGGTTAACGAATGCTCATTGAATTTAATCGCGATACATCGTTATTATTACCATGTGTGTTTCAAAACGGCCATCGAAGAAGTTCATCATACGAGTTTCTCATAATACGATTGTACCGTTTTTTGTTTGCAATCATCTCTGTATTGTTCTATTATGTCATGACTTCAAGTCGTCCATTTAGTATGGGCACCTTCATACAAGTAGAATTTCATAGTGGGCGTTTCATAGTTTCATTTAAGGCGAAAAAAACCGAACGGCAAAAAAAAGGGGGGGGGTCGTACAGGCTCGACCAAAATCCCCATCGAATGCTGTGCCCTGGTGGCGAAGCAACTCCAATTAATTCTCTTCTTAACATTCCAGGGGTCTGTGGTACTTTACACTTGTGTGTTATGGAGCTCGACTTACGATTTTTGGGTGTGAGTGAACTCTACAGACTTAAAAGTGTAGGGTCGAGGAAAGCTTTGGCGCAAGTTGCGCCGCTGAAATAGTAGCAGTGCGTATGTCATAGGACCTGCCACCAAATCAGGCTGGATTAAGAGTAATGATCAAACAAAACGGTCAAATAATTGGTTCGCTGTAGGTACTACTGTCAGCTTGTCATCTGGTTCCTGAAACAAGCCCCCTGTGCAACGACCTCGACCAGAAATCGGCAAAAGTGACCGGCAGTATCGAGAAGGTAAAAACACCGAAAACCAACATTCCCCTACGACAGCCATCGCTATTTCCTCTATTCCTAGGTTATGCGTACGTTCAAGGTTTTCATCATCCCAGACAACCAGGTGAATACCAGTCATCGCCCCTTGAGGGCAGACGGCTTGGATTGCTTGAGAAGGAGCGTAGGGATTTGATACTCCCACCGCATTCATGGTAAGAAGGCTTTTTTCATATTCACCTCCGTCCAATTTATAGATTGAAACGACTAATCCAACTCGGCAGACACGTGCTAGATGACCCTTCAATAGCAATGTGATCGTGCCAAACGAACCGCCTACCATGTTACAGTTCTCATCATTACGGACGGTGGGGCGTGCCAGTGCGGCTGCGTTTGGCGCGGTGCCAAAGTCAATCTGCACCCGTTGTTGAAGCGGATAGGTGACATTACTGTATTATGTCCTTCGTATTACTCGTTTTCTACCACTTTTTGTCGCATACGCGTTTCAGCAAAAAAGGCTGAGAACGGCTTCAACAGTGTGCACACTCATACTGGCTGACACGCCCCACCGGTCCGCAATGATGAGGACTGTAAAACCACGCGCGCGTCGAGTATCGCCTATAAGTTGCGCCTACACGTGTGAGGTAAGTTATAAAGTATAAGTCTGGTAACATTGCATCTAAAACTGGTCTGAATAGTCTCGACGAAACAACAATTGTAGTTTCTGGCACGTAGGGGGGGGAACCTTTATATGGAAATAAGAAAAACAAGTAGAAAGCAGAGAAAAGGATCTGGGGTGTGCAGGGTGAAAACATGTTATAACACGTCTTAACATGGTATCGTTATGACACGTTATAACGAGTACCGTACCTAACAGCGCGCGGCGACCTGATGATCTCGACGGTGACTCCTGACCTTCGCGATTGCCGTCCGCGATCAATTCTTAGGAGACGGGCAAAGAGGACCATGATATTTGCCTCTCTGCGCGCGCGGCGATGGGGCGCGGCGCGTTTTTTTAACGTCGTGTCAGTCCTGTTGATTGGAAGCACCGGACTGAATTGTAGCCCTCATTTCGTAGACTTCCGAATGATTACTTTCAGTTCTGAGATTGCCTTGTTTCGCCTCTACTATCTGGAACCATCGGTCTTAGCGAGCGCTACGGTCGCAAGGTGAGCGCGCTGAATCACCGATCCTCTTGTCACATAACCAAATTTTCGCCAGTGGATGAGCTCATATAACCGCAGTATGTTCACACTACCATATTGGTTGTCGTCTGCTCTCGGATTTCAAGACTGTTTGTTCTGAACCGTACCACAATTGCAAATCGCCAACCAGATTTAGCAAAGCATTATCAGGGAGTTGACGGTTCGACTTCGAGTTAAAGCAAGAGCGTATTCGCGCACTCCAAGGACAGTCCCGTCATGTCGAGGCAGGTGAATGAGGCACCGCAGCTGCGTGCCACTTTTTGACTGCTTGAAAATGCTGCATGAGATGGCGGCCTAGTAGGATAGTGATGCTAGATGAAGAGAATGTTCCCACGGCTGGTTAGAATTTGTGTCTTTGAATTTTCCTGTTTCATGTGTACTATTAACCACCCCTCCCACCCCTCTTCCTGCTCGACAGCAACATTCTCGGGTGGAAAAATGGAGAGGGAAACTTGGAAGGTAGGTTGCCGGCGGGAAGGGGAGGTTCTACCTACACCACATTTCACACATCGCTGTACCCTGCCACGCAGACGGTTTTGTGTCAGGCCCTGACGAAAAACATGACTAGAAGTAACCGATTTATGCTCGAATTTATACATCACACTTCAAAATGTATTGCACTTTAATTACCGTCTTATTACACATTGGAAGCGAAATCACTAGTAATAGGCCATCAGAACAATGTTTCAAATGTTTACACAATCATCTTCCGTGACATCTTGTGGAGAGGGGGTTAAGGAGTAAAGGTCGGCTGAATTAAAATCGTAGTAAAGCAGTAGCTACTTAAGGAATTCGAAAGAGTAGAGGTTATCGTGGAATCCATGCACACCTATTGATATCGGTGAGCGAGTGCATCGCTGCGCCGACCAGCTAGTGTTCTTGGCTAGTTGACTCGTCTAAACACTTTGGCGTCAAATCGATTGTGTCATGACAGCCTGTCGTACACCATTTACCATTAGTCGTTTTATTATTTATGTCGTGAGGATTCACGAATGGGTGAAGCCAGATCTGTGAAGTCAAAATTACTGGCGTACCTTTGGGTAATGACTCGTAAATGCGCTGCCCTCGCGCGGTAACGCCAGTTAACGCAGCGCGTCGACAAACTACCAGTGCAACCACGCTCCAATGCTACAGACGGGATTGCACCCCGCAGATGGGTAATGATCGGTGCCGGCCGCTTGGGATTTGCATTGGGGGCCATTGCTTGGTAGCGCGTGGACGCGCCCATGTTCGCAAGGTCTGAACTGGGCATGGGACGCCTGCGACTGGCGCGTTACTGTGTGTGTTTTGTTGGATAATGTTATATGACGATTTCCAAAAATTGGAGTGAAACAAGGCCTTGTATCGACTGTCGTTTTTCTAAGATATATCCGTCAAATGAACGCTACGGGGCGTATGCATGCCATGCACGAATTAAATTTGAGCGTCTGTTTGTCCAGTCATACTCTGCAATCAGATGTGCTGGTTGACCGCGATGCTCGCGAACGTCGGCGAATCAATTTCACACCGCGCAATCAGCGTACACTCGAGAAAATCTGATGCCAGTTGTACACGCGTAAAATCAATACTCATAAACGCTCGATAGCGAGGAAGGGAAGGATAAAATGTACATGAGTCTTTGGAAAGTAACATTGTTGGTAAGGCTTATAAAGCGATATTGGTGGGATTGACAATACACACACCACACAAGTACGACTATGGACTTGAGAGAGAGTCGGAAGAAGGATTACGCGCCGCGGTGTATTTTCCGTACCGATTCGTCGACAATGCAGTCTCCTTCTCTTAGCTCTGTCCTGACTAGATGCTAAGTGCCTCGGAAGGGGAGGGCCATTTTTCCGCGCGACAAAGCTACGTGAGAGTAGCCCTCCTGAGGCCACTCTTCCGTGTGGGTGCAGGAAGAGCAGATATGACTTGACTAAGCTCCGCTGAAGAGTGGCCCCCTCCCAAGGCAGATCGCCCCTACTGTTCTACTCGCATTCACTTGTCAAAGTGGGCTCGCGTACAGTCTCCGCGTGCCTTGCTGCAACGTCTCAGACTCTCTAGCACGAACACGACTTCTATAAAAGTGAGAGATCGCATTGAGTCGACTGCAAAGACATAAGAATATTCAAACCATCTACCCTCCGTAGATGGCGAAAAAGATCCAAGAAAAAAAAGTGGAGAAATAGAAAGACACAAGGACATTAGAATAGCTTTCGAACGGGGTGATTAAGAGGAGTGGATGGGGGCCTTCACTTCCGAAAGATGCCAGATAATTCACCATCTAAGCGGCGAAAGATGCCAGATAATTCACCATCTAAGCGGTCCTTGAGGGAGAAGATCCTTCTTCAGAGCTCATAAGCAAATGCGTTGGTGATTACTTTTGTGTCAGGATTGGCATTTTGGAAGTAACGACACGCAACCCTCCCGAACAAAATGGTCCCAGGTTTTGTAAAATGAGAGCGTTTTTCGTCGCTTCATCTACGCAAAGAGAACAGCAACCACCATGCAAAGAGGTGTAGAGAGGCCAAAAACGTAGCTTGCGGCATTCCTCTCGAATAGCGAATGGTTTGTCAACCACTTCATGCCCAGCAGCAGCGATGATCACGTCGTCATTCGGTTTGTCGTTAGCACCCGTAGGAACTATTCCAATAGCTTGCACCACTTCCATTCCCTCGAGAACCTGAACAGAGACCAAAGTTACGACTTTATCCCTAGGACCCCTCAGTATGTCAGAACAGAACTTAAAATAACTTCACAAGTCTTCGACCAGCTATGTACATTATATCAACCTGCTAGGTCCGCTCTTTTATACTTCCTCTCTTTCTTGCCGAAAATTTCTTGTACGTCACACCTCTCTCTGGCCGATTACGTCCTCTCTGCTCATTCATGATTAGTTTCGTCCTTTGGAAAAGCAAATTTTGTACTTGTCGTAAAGGGAAAGGGGCGGAAACGGGCTGCACCCAAAAGATGTGTGTCTTCCTCGTTGGCATTCCTCTTTTGACAAACTGCAGAATGATTCTCGATGGAAATCCTTCTATGTTCGAGGTGAGCGGAACCGCAGATGACCAGCCAAGCGTCACGATATTTCCTGCTCGAAGTGCACGAGATCAGGCTGTAGGGTAATAATATCCGGGAGCGATCTCCATACTGCGACGCGCTATTCTCAATGCGCAGCACTTGCATCCACACCAATATACCGCAGCGGGACAAGCGTTCAGCGGGAAAGAACAACCAGAAGTGAGAGGGGCAGGCAAGTAGCGCGTTTGGTTATGGTCAGGCGTGTGGCTGATCGCGGAGCACCGTAGGCGGAGTGTAAAGACAGCACCCGGGTATCGCTACACTTCAGCCCTAACTTTTAGCAAGACACTTAGTAGCCGCGAATCCATGACACCTCACGCGATGCAGAGCATGATCGCATGGAATCCTGGCGAGGCACTAGCTGCATGATGGAGGTCGGCAATCAAGTGTTTTCCTATGAGAGTGAACGAGTATCTCGGCGTTTCAGGACACACCTCATCCAGGCGACATTTTACTAGGGCGACTTGTTCATACTGAGCATACAGCAGCAGAGAAAAAACTTCTGCCAAAACCTAAAGGCGGAGAGACTCTGTGATCAAATGAAACCAAGCTAATCGGACGACAGCGGAATCTTTTTGAAGGTGTTGTCCTAGGAAACGTCGAAAGCGGGCTCGTTGCCTGAATGAGGGCATTTTGCTGGTTCCGTATCGATCACTAAAAGGCCTCCCGTGAAGACCTCCCTCTAAAGTCTTGCAGAGCTATTGAACAGCACGAGCTTCTGGAATGTGAGTCTCACCGAGGTGAGTCAACAGGAGCTAGCAAGAGAAGGTCAACCAGGGAACGAGGCCCTACCCCTTCCCTAGCCCAACTGCGCCGCGCCGGAAAAAACGCATAAGCGAGAGTTTTCATAACATCTCACCTTTTCCAACACCACGTGTTTTCCATCCAGATAAGAAGTGTCCACGAGAGTGATAAAGAACTGGCTACCGTTTGTGTCTTTGCCAGCGTTTGCCATTGAAACCCAACCAGGTCCATCATGCTTTAGTTCGAAGTTCTCATCAGGGAAAGAGTCACCATATATGGACCTATAGAGTTGTATCCATGCTATCTATACACTCAAAGTGAATAACTCAAAATAATATACTTTCACCAGTTCATTTCTCTTTTTGTGAAATCAACGCCTTGGATCATGGAGAATCCTTGATGAGACGCGGATGGTAATTTCGTATACGCAGTGTATCCTCGCCCTGAATTGAGTGTGTGGGAATGACATTATAATAGCTTCATTTACGAAGTAGCATTACTTCAGAAAAATTTATTTGCTGACGGAAACTGTAAGAGTATACGTGCAGTTAGTCCTTGGAAAGGCCAAAAAATATCGTGTAATAGAAGAATAGAATGGAAGCGGGCAAAAGATGTATTGTACAGTGCCGACCGGCGGGCGAAAATAGAGCTTGAAGTACGGAGTCGCACACGTGACGCATCATTCGGCACCAAGAACTAAACCAGACTTTCGTTTTTGTAATATTAAACTCTTCTTTGGGCAGACCGCTGCGGGCCAGTATGGAGGATGCACTACTTTCGCCAGTTTCTCGAGAAAGATATACCATTTTCACTTTAATCGCGAACTCTTTCAACACCACCATCGGGAACACTTTTCGAAAATCAAATCGGAAAGACACATCTTTAGCTCAGGTTAGTGGTTGAGCTAGGACCACCTTAGGTACTGATTGCCAAGCTCGCCCCATTATCCCCGCCCACTTGTGTTTGTCGCGGCCGAATTTTGGTTTCTTCCGGAGTTTTGGTGCGCCTATTTTTAGGCTTTAGCGGATTGCCTCGCCACGCAATGGAACTCGCCACTTTTGGGGAGCCCCGCCCCTTTAAAGAGAAATGATGCAAATCGCGGGCTAGTGTCCGTATGGCGGATTATCGGCACTCTCCGGTCGCTTAGAACAAAAATTTCCCTTTTCTCCTTTTTTTAATTCTATGTGCCGGGAGAGGCCGTAATCCGCCAGTACGGACACTAGCCCGCCGATTTGCATCATTTTCGAAAAGTGGGCGGGGCTTCCCAAAGTGGCGGAGGCAAATCGCTCTAAAGCCTAAAAAAGCGAAAATCCGGAAGAAAAAGCAAAATTCCGCGATAAACCACAAGTGGGCGGGGTCAGAGGGGCGGGGCCTGGTGTGCTGTGCATGGTTATTCGTTTTGTGAAGATTGGATGTGAAAAGAACTACGTCGAAAAAAGTTATAAAAATTCAGAACTTAAGTAACTTCATTGTTAAGTGGGCGGAGTCAGATCTGTATAGGTATCAATTTTTCAGTTGAAGTGTGTGTGTGCAAAGGGCAAAAACGAAAAAAGTCGAGGGAGCAGATTTCATGAAGCATCTCGGAAAACCCTGTCCGCGCTGAGAAGTGGGCGGGGATAATGGGGCGGGGCTTGCAACAGTACCTAGTGTGGTCTAGAGTCAGCACTTAAGTGTGAGAGGGTGTTCCCCCATTTGGTTTGGAAAATGTGTCGAGTTGTTTGCAAAGTGTCCGATTTCGGTTTGAAAGGTGTCGAATTGTTTGAAAAGTGTCCGATTGGTTTGTTTTAAGTGAAAATGGTATATATGATGAACGCGCGAACTGCTCTAGCCGAGGTCACGGCCCCGTCCACAGGCAGCTGCTATGCCCAACTTCACCATTTTTGCGTTATCCGTAACTAGTGTTGCGCGCTATAAAGATCGACCGTTTTTCTGTGAGCGGCGGCGTCCCTCACAAGTTTTTCTCGGCCCAAATACGACCCCCATCTCTTGGCAACCAAATACAACACCCTGTTGGAAAATCATCAACAACGATGTGCCTCATTATGTAGTTGCCTTATACTCACCAGAAAATTAACGACTTTAGAAGTGCCTGGAAGTGCTTGCTGCATGTTGAGTTAATCTACTGTGAGAATACTTGTAGCTTTCTGCGCTTATTACGGCGTGACATCTAGTCGGTCGACACTTGGTTTGAAATCCACCCCCAAAGCCTCTTTGTTCCTGCTGTGCCTCCATAATTTTAGACAGGCAGTCATTATGCTTCCCTCATTAGGGCGCATCCAAAAGGTTCACCCCGCGTTCGAAAACGTGAATTGAGCGGCTCACACTGATGACAGTGGGGTTACTCAGTACCAAAGGAAAAGAAGAAAAAGCTAGCCCAGATGTTCTCTATAGAACTCAGGCTGAGCGTTTTTACGCGCATAAACGAAGAATGGAGTTAGTCGAGCAAATTTCTCAGTTGTGGTTTGTCTGCTTCTCTTTGTCCATTTGAAATGTAAAGCAACACAGCCACTTCTGAAGATGCGAAGATGGGCGCCGCCGTAGTATTTGGTGCGGAGCCGCTCGCCTCGGACGCGCGGGGCCGTGGGAGCGGGGTCGCGCCATGTATGCAGCTCTAAGGAGTACATCGCCATTTGGGGGGGTGGGGGATGGGGGACAGGTTAATGAGGAAAGCACAAAGTCTGATAATCTCTGCTCGAGCAATCAACGTGTCTTTGGATTTTCAGGGAACACAGCACTCAAGACCTGATAATTGTGCACTTGGAGAAAAGCTAGATATATCAAAAGCATAACTTATACTCATGAGGCGAGAAAAACGTACTTTCGGTTTTTTAGCTAGTTCCACAAAATTTTTCACCGTCTTTGGCACCACTTGGCCAAACAAGCCAATTACGATTCGTCCTATCGACTTGCCATTTGATTCGATATCAAACCACACCTGAATCCTTATTCTTAATGTATGCAGATACAGTCATGTTCGCTGCTTATAACGAGTGTATCAGGCTTTTGGCGCGGTGCCAAACCTGTTTTCCATCAGTTGTTGGAGGGGGTAAGCGATAGCAAACATGGACTTATACGACTGATATTATACAATCTCGCTGCTTGCTTGCTTCAGCAGCTGGCGGAAAACGGGTTTGGCGCAGCGCGCTAGGCCCACCCTTCTGACACGCCCCTTCATCTGCAGCGAACAACACTATATTGATTGGCAACGATCATAATAATACCTTGTCCGTAACTAGAGGTTTCTGTTCCGCATAGCTAACGAGGGTAACACAAAATATAAAGCATAGTAAATATTTCATACCTGCAAAAGAGGTAGATAAGAGCTGGCTGCAGGCGAAACCATTCTTCACAAAAAAAATTGAAAAATAGATTTGAAATTCAGAATTCAGGGAGATTGTTCAATTCTCGAGGCAAGTATGATGGTGAAGGAGGAAAGGGTAAATTTTCAGAAGAGAGAAGAGAACTAAAAAAGGGAAGATCCCCTCAGAACTGTGCTGGAAGCGGGAATCAGTAATCTAGACAGTAGCGAACATTATTTCAAATTAGTGATAGGATTTTTCTTATTATATCGGTGATTTTATCGTTATCTTATCAATGAACCTTATCAAATCTGTGATTTTCTTTACGCGTTAAGCTAGTCAGTTAGTCTGAAGTCGTCAGACTTCTGGTGAATATAAGGCAAGCTACATAAGCCCTGTAAATGGACGTCTTCACCTGCATGAACATCACCAGACCATAGCTGGTGCTGTCTCTTTTGGCGGTAATAAGGCAGGAAGGTGGATAAGAGCAGTGGTGTATAAGTAGTGTGAATATACCCTAGCAGGAATGAACTCCGTGCCCTTGAGAAAGCGCTACAGGACGCCTTCCCTACGAAGTTCACTCTCTAAGCGTCTCTGCAGAGTTTGGCAGGCCACCCGCTGCTCTCACTAAGATCCGAACGCCCGCAAATGGCCGCACTGTCCAGCAGGATCAGCACCAGCACGATCGGGAGACAAGCGATTTCGTCACCCATCTGCTCCTTTCATCCGATTCTCACGATTACGCTATTTTTCGATTTTTTATTCTCCAGTTTCGCAAAGTAAGAACGCGGTCTCGCAGGTGCAACGAAGCACTCAACAACCCACTCCTATCAATGCGACTATGCTTTCTTGCTGAGGAAAGTTTCATTTCAAATGCGACCTCGTCAATGGCGGTATGATCTGCTTCTTCGCCTTACTGTCGTCTTGGTTTATCATGTAAGCATTTACAATTTTCCGGTGTCGTGTATGGATGTACCTATAGCGTTGTCAGTGCAGTTAGTGGGGTGAAGTTCGTTAGCAGCACCATCTGTAAGACTGGCTGCAAAGGTAGCAGTTGCGTACTCTTCTTATCCCTGAAATGGAGTAGGCGTGGCACTCGCAAGGCACAAAATGAGTTAGTCGTGGGATTTTTTCAGTTCGAGACAACTGTCATCTCGTTCAGTGTTGTACAGAGACATGAACACAGTTGTGTCAAAATGAAAATATCTCACTAGAACTACAGCCACATGTAGTTGAAGTACGCAGCCACGCCTACCACATATCAGTGATTTCGAGTGAATCTCTTACGATAGGAGGGTGATACCATTACCGATCGATAATGTACGCCTTTCTGCTCTCTTATTCTTAGCTTTGCTGTAGATTCCTCCTGCTCTTCTCTCTCGAGCTCACTAATGCGGGACATTTCCCAGGCGGACACCCATAAAGACTGATAGACCAAATGTGTGGATTTTATAGTAGAAATAATAATAATACTTTAGATCGCTGTGGACGAAGGGGCGTGTCGGGCAGTATAAGGGCGCCAAACGTTCTCTGTCAGTTGGTGGAGACAACAACTGAAAAAAATGAGTGATACAAACGATGTGATACAGCCTTGTCACTTGCTCGCTTCAACAACTGGTGGAGAACAGGTTTGGCACCGCGCCAAACCCATGCCACTTGACACGCCCCTTTGTCCGCAGCAAACGAGACTGTAACGACTCGCTCATAATTAACTGCTTATGAGCGATAAAAGTAAGGCATACCTTCGTTGGAAGGATAATTGATCGGGGCAGAGGAAAAGTGGGAGGTGCTTCAGAGTGGGATATATGTAGGGTGGATGGGAAGAGCTGAAGCGAACGCTGTAGCCGTAAATCCGATTTCCTTCTCGCCGATGGGAATTTGAATGTGAATTTGCTGCGAACTGAAAAGGCTACTAAAAAAAGCGTGGCGAAGTCTCTTAGATGGCATCAGCCTTCAGCACTCTCTCAATAGATATTTTGAGGAACGTAATTGAATTTCCGTAGGGATTCTTGATGTACAGAGTCGCTTACGTGGCCTTCACGTCACTTGGAATCAGAGTACAATTCGTTGTGGAAAACTTTTGCTCAGTGCGAGGTCACTCAAGATTTTCTGCCTCATTACGATTTCTTTCACAACCTGTGTGCCCTCATATGCTTCCCGAAATACTTGTGTTGAGCTTATCTGGGGGAGAGGAGGGGGGAGCAAGGTAGGAGAAGACACCTATGGCAATCAAGTATCCGAAGTAGTAGATTTAGCTCCCCACCGACAAGGACGAAATCAAAGAACAAAATCAAGAGTGATAAAACCTCCTCGAGGCCAATTACGTCCCCGACCTCTCCGTTCACGCTCTGCTGAAATTAGGTTGCTGAGCTGAAACTGCGGCTAAACTTGGCTGGATATACCAAAACACGAAAACGTCAGAGCTGTCACACAGACGGCTGCCATTCAGCTGAAGGCACGAGAGCAACGGCAGCGATGGTATGGGCATGTGCTGAGAAGGTCCGATGACCATCCGATAAAGATGAGAAGTCCTACACTTCAAAGTACAGAGCCAGCAACCAAGAGGAGCCTCAAAGAAAAGACGGAGGGACGTCCTCAAGAAGGACCTCACTGAAGTGAAAGCCACGGCAGAAGATGCAGTGGATCGGAACAAGTGGCGACGTCTAACAGGAACAGCGTACTGCAACGGCGCGAGACTCACGCCTATGTAGAAGAAGTTGCGCTTCACTCGGAGTTGTATGCCCTGCTTGGACTAACACAGACAAAAAATGAGGCTGGACTAACACAGAC